GACCTTGAGAAAAAGATTCTAGTTTCTCATCTCATTCCAGGCCTGCCACAGCTGCTGAGGCTGAGCAGCTGAGCTCCATCCACATCACTGGTCTTGCCAGTCCCAGTTCAGACACTGCAGAAGATGGGCCTGCTCCCCAGGTGAAGGAGGAAAAGTAGGAGACCTAGAGAGGGAAGAGGCAAAGGCTGCTTCAGGCTCCAGGAGCTTTTCCAGCACCCAGAGCAAGAAAAAAGTTTGGTCCCAGCCCCTCTCAGTGCCCAATTCTGCAGGTAGAGGAGCAGCAGGGGCACCTTCAGGGCAGCCAGGAACTTGGCCAAGGAAGCACAGAGGAAAGGCAGGGGAAGCCCTGATTCAGATGGCACCCCTCTGCAGGGCCACTCAGAGGGCTATCCCGACCCACAGGACAGTCAAACAGGTTTCCTGAGGAAAGGAGTGAGAGACAGGATGAGCTGCACAATGTTACAACTTTTTTTTTTTTTTGAGAAGTTTTCGCTATAGGGCGTGTGCGCTTGCCAGAGAGAGAGAGACATAGAGGCAGGAAGCGAGAAACAAACCTCCAGGGAGGATGATCACGCCACAAACCCTTCTCCTCCACTCTCCTCTCAGGATCTTGGGCACGCGTGCACACGCGCCCGGCATGAGTTTTAAGCCACCGGGTCCGGGACGCGAACTGCGGTCAACTACGTGGGAGTCCAGCAACATAGCCATTACTCTAACTGCTGGTTCACAACATTACAACTCTTCAGGGTCGTCTGTTTATTGTGGGCCAGGAATCGTGGTTATATACATGTTGGTGGGCGGTGATTGGTTGTTAAAAGGTGGGTTATGATTGGTTGCTTTTGTAGACCAATCATGAGGTACCAGGTATGCAAATCTGAGGGATTCTAGTGGCCAATCAGAGTATGGCTTTGAAGGTGAGGTTTTGAAGGGGAGCCAATCATGGCCTTTGTCACTGTGTAATTATTTGCTCTCTGAGCCTAAGATGGCAATAGTAAGAGACTCATGAAAATGGCCTCGGCAGACTCGCTGGTGCGCAGCCTCCCACAGGGGGCCAGCTGGCCTTTTCTCTACCTGAAACCACAGGCATGGGGCACAAGGGCAAACCCCAGGTGCCCACACCTAGCAGTACATTGGCATTCCTCCCCCTTGCTATTTGAAATGCTTCAGCCACGCTCTTGTGGACAGACTCCAGGGAGTGTGTGCCAGTTCAGGGCTCTAGAGCTGACTTCGATTTTTAAAGAAACAAACAAAAATTCTGAAACGTTTATTCATTTCTTCCATGGAAGAGACAGAGACAGCACCCATCAGGGTCCTGATGCTGAGACCTACCCCTGCCAGCCCTGGAGCGTGGGCACACGCATGCCTGGTGTACTCAGGGAGGTCTCCAGATGCAAATGCTGAACCTCCGCATGTTGGGCAACCCCACAATGTCGCATCTACCTCTGTGTCACCGCCAGGCCCCAGGAAAGGGACCTTATCATGTGGACACTGGACAGCTCAGAGAAGCTCTGGCAAGGTGGGATCCATGCTCAGGAGAAGGGCAGGAAAGAAGTGAAGCTGAGGACAGGCACAGCGTGCCACAGGGGGGTCTGGTGAGGGCAATCGTGGGCGCCCACAGCTGCCACCAGCACCTCCACTAGCATCAGCAGCCAGGAGCTGCAGAGGGACTCGGTGCCACTGCTGTCCCAGGGTGGAAAGTGGATGTTGCAGGTGACACCTTTCCATCACGGAAAGAAACATCTCCCCTTTCTCTACCTCACACGACTCCCTCTCCACCCAATGCCCCAGGAGGTCGGGTCTGAGTCACTGGTCCCAGCCCACAGGCATGTACCCTAGCTCTGCGGAGTCCTGGGAAGAGATCTTGCCAGACAGAGATGAATACCTCAAACACAGAGAAGCTCTGCAGATGCCAGGAAGCCTGCTACCAATCATTGCTCTCGGCAGAATGGACTGCAGAGCCGGCACAAGGCGACCTGCCATCAGGGGGCGTCCTGAGTTGGTGGCCAATTAACGTAAACCGGTAGAGAAGTGCGCGAGCCAGGAAAACCGGCGCCCGAGTGGTGAGTCTGTGACCAGGGCAGGTAAATAGGCTTCTCTGGGTCTTGGCCATGTACAGAATAGGAAGACTATTCCTACCCCCCTTGCAGTGTTCGTGTCTAGGTCAAATTAGGGAATCTGGTGGGCTTTGAAAACTGCACTGTGAGTAAATGTTTGCCTCTCAGGTAAAACAAGCGTTTTACAATGAGAAAGATATTCTCTGCACGGTAGGGTTATTGTGAGGTAACGTCGAATATTATATATTCATGGCTTATTTACAGGTTAAAATTCTTCGATGTCTGGGGTTTCCCTCAAAATATGGAGGAGGATGGGACAGGAGAGGGCTCGCTGACCATCAGGCTGGCCAGGAGTTGGTGCTGGGGCACCGGACAGCGCACGTCACGCCATTTCCTCTGCGTTGGTGCGGCATGAGATCCCCCCCAATAAACTTTTCTTTTTTAAATGAAAAGTCTTGGGTTGACTTGAAACCTCAGCAGCCTCCCGCATCTCTCCCTAGTTTCCTCCCTGCAGACCACCCCCTTCCCTGTGGCCCCGACGTCAGGCTATACCAGAGAAGCCGTCCTGAGTGGCTCAAGGTTTGAACCAAAACAAGAAACCCCAGAGAACTAATTAACAACAGCAGAAAAACAGAATCCAAAAAAAGGGGGGGTAGCCTTTACAAAATGACTCTTTCCAGCCAACACAAACGAACCGAAACCTCTTTTCCTAAAACTGCGCTTGGTAAGCGGTCACAGAATCTAAGGCGTCGCGAACGCGCCCCTAAGGCTGCACCCCGGGCGGACAGGTGCTCGGGCCCTGCCCACCGGCGCCGCCCGGCAGCCCAGGGCCCCGCCCCGCCTCTCCTTCCTCCGCAGACTCCCCGCGGCGGCAGTTTGGCCGGAGGAAGCGGGGAGACCCGGGGCCTGGCGTTGCAATGGCCTGGAAGGGGCCGCGAGCGTCCCGAGGAAGCCTGACCATCACACCGCGGGTGCTTCATTACGATCAGTAACCCGACTGCAGAGCTGCTCGTGGGGGAAAGGCTCGCGGGCGCCGGGGAGGTTTGCGGTCACCTGAACGCTCCCACCAGCCGACTCAATAGGGTCCCTCTAAGAAACCGCCGCGGCTGGCAGCGCCGCCCACCGCCCGCCAGGCCCTCTGCAGTGCGGCCGAGGATGCCCAGAACAAACATGGTTCCCGGCGGGGCAGAGGACCTTCCGCCCCCAATCAAGATGGCGGAACGAGGGGGCGGGGCTGGAGGCGGAA